TTTGGATGGGTTTACAAAACGAGGCTGGGAATCAGTATTCACCATCATCCATGCGTTCCGAGGGGAGCTTTTCTCGCAGCTTCCAGCTGTGCCCTGGTTCCACTGCTGGGGTCGGGGATTAGGGGTTAATGGGTGTACGCTTGTAAATGGGGACTTGGAGGATGGGTATGTGGAAGCATAGTGAGATGGGCTAGACAAAATGTTAGGTGCAGGGGACTCCCCCTGAGACTGAGGTCTCTGCAGATCCCATGAAATCTCCTGTTGAGGATAATGACCTGGAGGGATGGACTGTGTCATAGCAGAGGTGGCAGAGGAGGACAAAAGAAGACCAGGTGATGTAGAGACCACTTGTGGCATACTCTGAGGATAGGAGGTTGGCAGATGCTGATGATGATTTGCAGGTGAAGACTCACCTGGAGGAACAACAGTTTGTGGGTCAGTGGCAGACAACTGGGTCAGAGCCTCAATTGCAATTGCTGTTTGCAAGCTAACATTTCTTTCCTTGGCTATTGACAGAACACTAGGGGAGCAAGGAATAGGTGCTGGTGGGCCAAAGGGTCTAGGAGCAGAAGGCTGGTTAACATGGGGATGTGGATTTGTGTCTTGCACACATAAGGAGTTACCTCCACATTGTTGAGGTTGGGATTGGGCATTACGATGCTGTGCATGTGGCTGTAGAGGAGCACCCGAAATTTTACAGGAACCTTTATCCTGACAGTTAGCCACCATTTTGATTTGCTTCTCCAGCCACTCCAGGTAGTCAGGGCAGTCTGGGCCATCACAATCACAGTTAGGGGGCTTGTGGCCATGACGGGCCTTGCTCAGTGCTGCCTGAAGAGTATTTAGGTCTTCAGGGGGGTACAACTCACCATCCACACCTTTCTGTCTGGCCTCCTCACCTCCATTAGACATTTCCTGATTGAACCTTTCGTACAGCTGAGCTGTAGGAGTCTCAGAAGGTTGATGGTTGGTGTAAGGTGGCAGTGAGCCAACAGTAGCAGAAAAGGCCACCAGGGTTCGTGCATCCTCCATATCCACATCATTCACTGGTGTACTGACATTTTGGCCACTCCAAGCACCCTGTTGAGATTCAGGATTTGACTTCCCAGCATGCTCAGGGACCCGACCTAGTGTCTGGGAAATACATCCAGCTCCCTCGTGGTAGTTGTGCTGATGTTGCTCCCTGGCCACGCCTCTGACTTCTTCATCACAAATATTTTCTTCATTTGTTGCATGTTTGCTAAGCCCATTAGACAGTTCCTGGTTTAACACGCCTTCATCCAGGCGGTCATGGGACCCAATTTCCATCTGGCCTCTTCCTCTGGGGCCATCCACTGAACCCACCACAGAAACAGT